GGGGAGAGAGAGAGAGAGAGAGAGAGAGAGAGAGAGAGAGAGAATTTTTAATGTTTTATTTTTTAGTTCTCGGCGGACACATCTTTGTTGGTATGTGGTGCTGAGGATCGAACCTGGGCCGCACACATGCCAGGCGAGCGCGCTACCGCTTGAGCCACATCCCCAGCCCTTAAATTCTTAATCTGTTTTTAACTCCCTCTAATTAGCAGAGGCAGATTACTCCATATATCTGCTTAAAGCATTTCAGTTCTATAAAATAATAAAGTGCCTGGGTTTTTATTGTAAATCTTTCTAGCACTAACTTTCCATGTTATGGTTTTCCTATCCATACCAATTCATATTCAAGTCAATAGAATAGTCAGGAGGAATTAAGGTAAGGCTAGTTTTCCAAATAGACTAGACTAGAAAAAGTAAGTGCTACAGCTCAGGAGAACCTGAGATCAAGAAGCGATGCCAGAAACAATAACAAAAAAAGATTCTCTAGGGAAATGTAGGCTTTTTCTGCTTATATAAATTCTGTGTAAGTTAACAAAGAACAGGAAAAACTAGAGGAATAAGCGAAACACCTAGAGACACTCTAAAGGGGCTTAACTTTGATTTCCTGCTCTACTAGGCAGAAATTATCATAGCAAGCCTTAGATGACTCAAACTACTTAAATCATTTGCCTGAAGAACTTTGGTTCTTCACCTCTAGATCTCTTTGGTAGAAAACAGAAATGACAGGGATACTGCATCTTGCCTTTCATGACACAGGCATTACATCAGTCAAGTCACATTAACCCATCCACGTCAGTATCAGTGACATTTTCCCTATTTTACACATGAGCAAAAGGAAACCCTGAGAGGAAATGAGTTACACAAGGTCAAGAAGAGTAAGAGTTGAATGGCAGGGCCAAAATCAGACCAAGTCTTTACATTTCCACTTAAGTGTTTACTCCTCTGCTACTTTGCCTTCAGATCTGCAGTGCATGGTGGGGAAATAAAGGTGGACCAGCATCCCATCTTTTCTCTTTTAGTCCATTTTCCTTCAGCTTCCATTGCCTCCATCTGCTGTAAAAGGTTTGCTGCCCTAGGTTTGATGTCAGGAGGCTGAAATTCAAGTCCCGGTTCTGCCACAGAGGAGGGCTGGTCTCAAACAAGTCTATCACTTATCCTGTTTGGGCCTCAGGCCATTGTTTCTTCCAATTCTGTCTCAGTAATAGTATGAAAAATGGAATCAGAATAGGTATTGGTTGATTTTTACATTTATGTAAAATTTGGGGGGCTGGGGTTGTGGCTTAGTGGTAGAATGTGAGGCACTGGGTTTAACCCTAAGCATTACATTAAAAAAATAAATAAAGTTATTTAAAAAATTAAAAATATATTTTGGACTGCAGCTGGGGCTTGAAGGGGTGAGAAAGGGCAAGCAAGAGAATAATTCTAAAAGGGTAAGAGAAAATAGATTTATGGGAGTTTAGAGTAAATATTTAGAGTGTGGAGTTTAGGCAGGCTAAGGTTGATTCTTCCACTTAGGATGCTTCCTTTTGTCCCTTGTCTTTTAGAGGGCACTTAGATGTGTGTAACTCCTGAAAATTCAAATAATATTTTGGCTTTTCAGTTTTGTTTTGGTGAAAGGATTGAGGATGTGGGGTACACACTGCTGTAGGAACCAGAGGACCAATAAATTTAAGGATCTATCATGTACATACAGTGCAACTTATTTTGAAATGACTGAGTTCTGATCCCCACTGTGCCGCTAAACAAATAATTTGCTGTCCTAGTAGAATCTGAGCCAAAAGTGTGTGAAAGTTCAAACATGGTCAGGGCCTTTTTTTTTTTTTTTTTTTAAATAAATGGATCAATGTGATAGATTTGGCGCTTTGTTTTTACTGACTTCTAGAACCAAGGAAATCTTTATTTATATATCACCTATTCAATTAATGCCTTTCACAATTTTTAGAGGCAAGTTGACCTAGTTCCTCAACATTTACCTATATGCCTTTCTCTTTTTCCTCTTTCAAGAAAATTCAGAAATACTTACCCATCTGCCCTTCTACCTCAAAGCAAGTCAGTTTATTAATAGTTATCAAGTCCAGTAGCTCCACAAGCAGGCTTCATTTGGAACACCAGAATCTAATGGCTAAAAGGAGTATAGGAAAATTTGCTTCCAGAACAACTGTGGTGTAACTAAATAAATAAATGGAGAAGTAAGGTGGTATAGAGTAATGCAAGAGGAGGAAAAAATAGAAATGATGTTCCAAAAATACTGGGAGATTTGGGAAAGGGATGGAAAGAAATGAGAGAGCTTTTGAAAACTGATAAGCACATATGATTTACTAAATCAATTTAGTGATTTTTCAACCAATATTTCTTAAAAGTGATACACTAATATAGACTGTATAGAGCACGGAAAGACAAAAAGTGTTTAGGAAACATAATACATACAAATATATATAAAATGTATCTATATATGTAACTTATATATTTATATAATGCATGCACGCTCACATACCCACAATCCCCAAGTTGTTTGGAAATTATTTCACATTATGGGTCTGGGTCCAACATTTGAAAGCCCCTAGAACACACGACTCAACAGGATCTTGGCAAGGTAAATTCAAGGTCAAGTGAGAATCCCTTTTCTCTCCCCTTGACGGTCCAAAGCAGTTAACGAGGGGAGCGGAAATGGCGTGTGGGGGAGGGGACACAAGACAGAAGCCCAGCCTGGAGCAAGGGCGCCTCAGGACAGGGAGGTGCTGGGTGTTTTCTGTGTGGTTGATCAATTGAGGGACTCGGGGAAGTTGCTTTTGAATGTTTCCCTTAAATACTAAACCGAAAGAATTACGGTATTTCTTGATTCTGAAAAATCTACAAAGGTGAGGGATTCGCATTGCTCCTTGCAGTGGTCCCATGTGGGGCCAGTCCCAGTAGGCGAGATTATAACTATTATTAACAGGGGCCAAGTGCGGGAGGTGGGCGGGGCGTGGGAAGCGCGGGAAGGTCGGACCCCCGGGAGATTCCCACCGAGATTCACGTCGTTCTCCGCATAGCCCACCGGGAGGAACAAGCAGTTCTTCACTTTTGGACCCATTTGTGGGCTCGGGCGGACTTTTGTTCTTTCTGCGGGTCAGAGGAGCTCCGAGCCAACGGCTAGTACTCGCCTCCGCCCCAGACACTGCAGCAGGCCAGCCAGGCAGCGGGCTCCCGGGCCTCCTCTCACGTGACCTGCTGCGCGGGCCACCGCCTCCGCCGCGCCCAGACCCCGCCCCCACGACGTCTCACCGCCCTCTGACTGTCCGAATGTTCTGTTTCTTTCCGTGTTCGCTAATTGGCCAGCCCAGCAGACAGCGCCCCCCCCTCCACCACGCCCCCGAAGCCGTGGGGGAACGCTCTGGGGGGCGGAGTTTGGGCCGGAGGGGCGGGGTGAGAAGGCTCCGCGCGGGTAAAGGGGCTGCCTCCAGCGCGGTCCGAGTGTTCAGCAGACGCTCGCCGTCTTAGCCTCCGGTCTCTTCGCCCGCCCCTCCCCCGCCCACCGCGGTCACCCGGGAAACCGGCCGCGATAGCCGGCCGACTTGAAGCTGGTTTCATGGCAGCGGCGAAGAAAGCAGTTTTGGGGCCATTGGTGGGGGCAGTGGACCAGGGTACCAGCTCGACACGCTTTTTGGTGAGCCTGGGGTGATATCTGAGGAGGCGCTGAGCCGGGGCGGGAGCCTGAGGACGCTGGGGCTGGGTATCGCGTCCCCATCCCGCTCCTCTCGCGGCCCTGAATTCTGATGGCCGGGCAAGGGGGGAAGGCCGAAGAGGGGCTTGCCACGCTGGGGCTGCCCCGCCCGGGCCTGAGGAACTCAGCTTCCCAGGACCCCGGAGGCACAGTTGAGCAGTTGCAGCTTTGTTCGTAGAGCTGGGTCACGCACTAATAGGGGGACTCTTTGCCCAAATAGAACGAGGATTATCTGAGCATCCGACGCAGAGCGGCCCGCGTGCAGCAGGGGACAGGTGGCCAAATTGACCGCTGCAGCGGTTTTCCCCAGCAGCATTTGGCCTGAGAGGCACAGGACGTCCTTGGATGGAGGGAAAGCTGTGTCACGGCTGTGGTAGCTCAACCCAGCGTCCTTTCCAGCAGTAGAAAGAATTAAGTATTAGCGTGATGATGCGTTGTCATTCTCTCCCACAGAAATTGCAGAGGGTAGCAAACTGAGGGGGTGGCTGAAAAAATTAGGAAACAGTCACACTACACTGCTTTTTCAAGAATCTATTCAACTTCAAAGATTCGAAAATTTTGGTTTGGATACTTTACCCATTATAAACAAATATTGTCCTCTCAGTGCTTCCCAGCATAATGTGTCAGGGAAATTCTTTGTTTCTTTATTTACCATGTATAACAGTAGAGTTTTACCATGTAAGAGTGCTATTTAAGTAACTCTGCTACCATTAGGAAAGTTACTCTTAATGTAGAATTGAGTTCATGCTTTCAATGGACATTTGACTAGCCTGGCAAGTTGATGTAAATATTTAGTGATTATTTAGCTCCCTCTTCATGGTACTTCGAATCATTTTTCCTGTTTTATTTGGCATGTATGTGTGTATATATGCATTGTGTGCGCGCGCATATATTATTCTATTTAGCTGGCACTTGACAAAAAAATGCATATGTGCTTTGAAACTGAGAAACTTTCAGTCCACTTTTAGTTTGGATCTTATTTAATAACATACCCTGGTTTGAGCTGCCACACTGACAAGGCATAGTTCCATGTTTTCTGTATTGTGTATCTTTTGATCACCCAAGCCAGGTTTCATTTTGTCTTAAATTTATATAAATGTTCTAATCCTGAATCTTAAGTAAGTCTGCTTAACTGGATTTGATTAATATATAAAATACACAATCATTATTATCTTCCCAACTTAAGACCATTAAGATGTGTGGGTTGAGTTTTAAAGCCATATTCAAAAATCGCTGACAAAAATGCCTGTAGGGGTCAGGAAGAGGGCCAGCAGATTGGAGGCTAAGTAGCCAGTAACTGCTAAGTAGAAATGCAAGCACAGGGCTGCTAGATCTTCAGATTGTTTAAGAAAGCCAGTAGTTTAGAGTTCTCAGTGAACTCTTCCAGTTTTGGGGGAGGGGGTACTGGGGATTGAACCCAGAGGCACTTGACCACTGAGACATATCCCCAGCCCTTTTTTTATATTTTTCTTAGGGACAGGGTCTCACTGAATTTTTTAGGGCCTTGCTAAATTGCTGAGGCTAGTTTTGAGTTTGGAATCCTCCTGCCTTAGCCTCAGGAGATGCTGGGGTTACACGCGTTGACCACCCACCCAGCTGAACTCTTCAAATTCTTAAGTGATGGCAACTATTTTTTTAAGCATGGCAATTGTTCTCAAGTTTATACAGTGTTTGCCCTATGTTAAAATGGATACAATATTTCACAATTTTGTAAGCTTCCTTTTAAGGAGTCAGCCTGCACATGCTTGCCTTCCTTTTTTAGTTTTTCATTGTTGCTGTCCATGTAGCCTAGTGATGGTGGTTATCCACTACAGGTTGTTCCTAGTCCTTATGATTCTGTTGCCAAAAGGCATCTGTCTACACTGATAGAGAAAGAATTGATCAACTTCATAATGCCACAATCATTTGTTCAGCATGTAACATGAACAATATGAACTTTGAAAGACTGGGTTCCCTTTACCAATTTCCACAGGGCATAATCTCAGGCAGTAAGCTAAGTTGCAAATTCAGAAGATTCCCATCCTGCTTAGAGAATGATGTATAAAAGTTAATCAATAAAATCATCTGTTCCTTGAGAAACAACCAAGAAATAACTCTTCAGAGACAGATAAAAGACTTAAGGATCATAAGTGAAAGCGGAAAAACTTGGGAATGGTTTAGCAAGGGAGATTTTTCCCTTTGGTTATAAGGAAGAGGTTGCTAAACCACTCCCTGTGAAATGCAGATAATAGATTTGCTGAACCAGTGCTTCAATCACAAGGTGATTCCCGGGAGTTATTCCAGTCATATTGTTCTACATTGTAATTATGACTCAGGAGAGAATATAGTGGATAAGAACTGTCATAATGAAGCTTATGAATTTAAAAGCATTTAATTTCCTGGCCATTATTCATCAATTTGCCTTAGGTTTCACAAGACCAATAACCTCTTTCTTCTCCCCTTTTCTTTATTAGTAATATTAGCTTTCTCCCACAAAGAGAAAAAGCCTTATTTGTGCTCTTTCATCAGAGTAAAATGCCTCCTCCCCTGTCCCCATATCTGCCTCTTGAAATTCTATCCTCTCTAAATACTGACTCAATCGCCACTTTTTAGTAAAAAATTCCTTAGTTGGATTTTCTCTCCCACCCTATAGCACTTTTTTATACCTCTATTAATAACTCTTTTAAAAATATTTTTAGTTGTAGTTGGACACAATACCTTTATTTTATTTATTTTTATGTGGTGCTGAGGATTGAACCCAGGGCCTCACACATGCTAGGCCAGCACTCTTACCACTGAGCCACAACCCCTGCCCCATCTATTAATAACTTTTATCACCTTCTCCCTTGTATTTGTATACCTTCTATACTTAGGAGCAGAGGCCTCCTTTTAAAGTTTGTTCTTCTTTGAATTCCTTAAAACATCTTGATCAAAATGACAAATGAACACATTTTGTTATAGAAAGAACTTCATACATGTTTATTGAATAGATTTTTTAATTTCTCTTAATAGGTCAACCAAATTTTATCCCTGGTTTTCTTTCTTATGTTGCCAAAAAAAAAAAAATCTGAAAACTTTCTGACTTGGATATATTTGACTAGTTAATTTATTTTAGTGTTAGACCTGTAATTTTAAAATATGTTCATTTCTTCATTAGGTGGAGCCCTATGCATATGTTTTGAACTGGAGGAAAATTTCCACCTTGGCTTATAGGAAAGTGAACTGAGGTTGGCACATGGTTACTCAGATTTCAGAATAGGAACTTCCTGGAAAGAATATTAGTGTAACAGGTTTTAAGGAGGGGCCATTTCTTTTTTTTTTTTTTTAATTTTTTTTTTAAGAGAGAGTGAGAGAGGAGAGAGAGAGAGAGAATTTTTTTTTTTTTAATATTTATTTTTTAGTTCTCGGCGGACACAACATCTTTGTTGGTATGTGGTGCTGAGGATCGAACCCCGGTCGCACGCATGCCAGGTGAGCGCGCTACCGCTTGAGCCACATCCCCAGCCCGAGGGGCCATTTCTTTATGAGACAAAAGTTTCAGCTTTAACAGTCAACTTCCTTTTTTAATTTGGTAACTTAAATTTTCCCCATTACAGAAAGGCTTGAAATATGTTGTGACTTGAAATTTATCAGGTATTGTGTTGGGGACTTCTCCAGCATTATCTCATTTAATGTGATGTAGATGGTATTAGTAAGCTCCTTTGCTGTGGCTGAGGATAGTGTCCAAGGTCACAGAGTAATGTTGGAACTAGGATTTAAGTCCAGATCTGTCATACTCTGAAACCAGTCCTCCTTACTACTGCCTTGGGATCCCCAGCTACCTGGAGTACTGTGAAGAGGAGATGGAAGAATGGGGAAGACTATCTCCCCATCTGTCACTCAAGTGTCAGTTTTTTTTAAAATATATATATTTTTTGAGAATTTTTTAATCTTTATTTTTTAGTTTTCGGAGGGCACAACATCTTTGTTTTTTTTTTTTTTTTTTTTTGTATGTGGTGCTGAGGCTCGAACCCCGGGCCACACGCATGCCAGGCGAGCGCACTACCACTTGAGCCACATCCCCAGCCCCTCAAGTGTCAGTTTTGATTATGGGATTAGGGTTACAAATGAATGGCTCTTCACCAAGAAAAACATACTTGCTAATTGGTTTCACAAAATATAAAAATGTTGCTTTGGATAAGAACTTCAGGTTAAGATCATCTTGTGACTCATATTCAGCGGGTCCTGGGCAGGGCTTAGGTGTGTCACCATGGATAATGGTTGCATAATCATTCTGTTCCAACAGCCAGTGTGTATGAAGAATGACTAGAATTGTAGTTCTGTGCTTGTTTTGGCAGGAAACATTGCCTTGGCCCCAGATGTCTCACCATACCTAGAAATCTCATAAGGTTTATGGATAGATTTCCACCTTTGTTGCTTCAATTTATTTAACACATATTTATTAGGTACCTGTTATGGGCCAGAGACTGAGAAACAGTAAGTTTCTTAAAACGAATGTGGCTTGCAACTGGAATGAGACCACTTTTATAACAACTGGAACTTGTGATTCTTTTGTTATTTTTTTCTCCACTACATTGGCTTGTTTTCTTGCCCATTGTATTATACAAGGTGGCATGAACACATTCTCCTCAGACAGCTGCCACCTGCATTTTTCCTCTTGTCTCTCAGGCCTAAATTTTTATTGATTGATTAATTGATTGACTGATACTGGGGATTGAACTCAGGGGCAGTTGACCACTGAGCCACATCCCCAGTCCTATTTTTGTATTTTATTTAGAGACAGAGTCTCATAGAGTTACTTAGTGCCTTACCGTTGCTGAGGCTGCCTTTGAATTTGCAATTCTCCTGCCTCAGCCTCTCCTTAACTTCTGGGATTACAGGTGAGCAACACTGTGCCCTGCTCTCAAGCCTACTTTCATGTTAAAACATTTCAACTTTGAGCCCCTTAAGGATCAAAACAGTGT